TGGGAGTGGGTCTTTCCCCTGCTGTTCTCAGGATAGTGAACGGGTCTCACGAGAGCTGATGGTTTCGTAAGGCGGAGTTTCCTGCACAACGTCTCTGTTTGCTGCTGCCATCCACGTAAGACCTGACTTGCTTCTCCTTGCCTTCCACCATGACTGTGAGGCTTCCCCAGCCACGTGGAACTGTAAGTCCAATCAAACCTCTTTCTTTTGCACATTGCCTAGTCTTGGATATGTCTTTATCAGCGGCCTGAAAATGGACTAATACAGTGGAGGACGGTGGCACCAAGCCCCGCCCCCTTCAGGGTGTGGTCCCTGTGCAGGGCAGCATCCTGGAATGGCTGCAAAGCTCCACTGCTCTCTGCCTCGATGCTTTGTCTTATCTGAGGCGGCCAGTGCGCGGGGGTCCCTGTGTGGAGTCAGTTCCGTATGGGTGCCTGCGGGTGCCAGCTTCACAGTAAGAAAACTGTCGGCTTCGCCTGAGGTGTGTGCACAGAGGTGACGCAGGGACAGGAACTTTGTTGATGAATGTGTTCCCTGCGCCGCTAACCCGGAGAATTCGTCCCACCCTCAGGAGAAGCCCTAAAAGTGATGGAGGCTCTGGCCGGGGGATGCCGACGCGCTGTGAATGTCGCGGCATGGGGCTTGGTGAGGAACCGCCGGAGCGCTCTTGCATTTTTCATGACAAAGACCACACCGTTGGCCTCATTCCTGCATGGTGGGAGAATGTGTGGAGGTGTCCCGCCGCCAGAGAGGAGGCCTGTGTCAGCACCGTCATGAGGTACCTGGGGAAGGGTCTGTTGACGATGCCCAGTGTTCGCTGGCCCAAGCAACCAGTCCTTGGGGGACTTCTGGGCAAGACCGTTTCAGTGCTTAGCCCCACTCTGTGTCCCAGGCAGAGAAGGGGCTGAATTGATGATACCTATTAAATGGCTCATTCATTCTCATTATCCATGCAGCCTGCCCGTGAGGGCCCCCCAGAAGGAAGGGCAACTCCAGGGAAATGTTCTCGCCATCAGCACGAGGCCATGGTCCAGGAGGTACTGCTGGACCAGAGGCCACAGGGCAGATTGTCAGGCCAGGTCACAGGCTTTCTCTGTCCTTGACCCTCAGCATCCAGGCTACCTACAAGAGGAGGCAAGGGGACTCCTCTGCCACACCTGGAGAGGTCTCCTCCATGGCAGGTTCCTTCTACAGTGCTTTCTCTGCTGCAAATGCAACTCAGCATCACCTCTTTCCTGGATATAATTCCAAGGAATTATTAAAGGAGGCATTGGTGTCAGCACCTCCCAAAATACCTGTAAAGATGGCCCATGGCAGAGCCTGTGCCTTCATTAGAAGTAAGCCTCACACACAGTGGCCTGCAGGCTCTGGAGGCCTCGGGGGCAGAGCAGCATCCAGGGTGGCTGTGGGGCCTCGCCTGGGTTTGTGGCTCATCATATGGGACCGCTGTTTTTCAGGACAGACTCCCTGGAGAGGTCCCTCGGCAGGACCCTGACCTGGGGGTCAGGGCACTGTCCATGATAGGGGAATGGATGGTTGATCAGAGAACGTACATTTTATAAATGGTGTATGTCAATTGATCCACAGTCCCTACCTATCCAGTGACTTCTGGAGGCCACATCAGCTCAGAAGAAGAAGTGGTGGTTTCCTAGGCCATGCTGTTATCTGGCACTTGAATGGACCTTCTCCTTGCCGGGTTTGTTTTTTTTGTGCCGAGTCTCGTGAGGGAGGGTTGGTGCCTTTTTTGAGCATGGATATTGCCGGGGAAGCTTTCTGGAAGGATCTGTTGCCCTTCATCCCTCTTCAGGGGCAGGATTGCGTGGTTGACTGGAAAGCATGGGCTTGATTGACATTGTGCACCCCTCAACTCTCCTAACCCTCTGTCTCCAATTCATCCTCAGGCAGACTAGCTAGAAGGAAGGTAGACTCTGGTGAAGACGTGGGCCATCAGCGTCAGCCTTCTGTACTTGAAGAGTGGTTATCCCTGCTGTGTTCGCTTTATTTATGACGAATCATACAGGGACATCCAGTTTTTCAGTATCAAATACTGCTTTGGAGGGCTTCCCGGACAGCGTCCCACCCTCAGGCAGGAGGTGTTGGCTTCCTTCACCTCCCACCCAAGGTATGTATGTGAGCAGGCCATCGCAGGACACGAGCTTCCTCACGTGCCACAGCCATGACCAGAATCGAATCTCTGAGGAGATGGCTGCTTCCAAGGCTGTGATTTTCTGGAAGGGGCTTTGGTGTCTGCACTACATTACTGGGGGAGGTCGACCAGTGAGAAGCCCATTCACACAAGACGTCTGTCACCTGCTCCAAGTGACCCTCACCCTTGGTAAGATGAATCCCTGGAGACATGCTGGCTTGGTAGTGTTATTGTCATCAGCCGGACTGACTGATAGGTAATTGGTCATCATTATTGCTTTTGTTCCAGGGCAGAATTTTTGAGTGTCAAATCTTGCCGGGGAAGGGTTTCTGGAAGTAGCTCTGCCCTCTGGGGAAACTTGGCATCCACATCTTTTAGAGTTTGTGGAGAGTTAGTTGAGTAGTCTGAGCTTTGTTTCTGAGGCGTCTCCCTCAGCTCACTCTCCTGCCAGAGCTGTGTCCTGCCCATGGCCATAATGGCTGTTGAGAGGGTTGGTGGCTTTGGCCACCATGATTTTATTGATCAGGTTTTCTCTTTTTAAAAAATCAGATTCTTTTGTTTTTAGCATAACTACATGGTTCATGAACTGATCAAATAACAAGGAACGACTTGGTCAATCCATAAACAGTGATGGAGTGCACACTCTATTCTTGGTGATTCTGGACCTTAGCATAGAGCAGAGAGCGAAATCAAGTTCTTGCTCACGTGGACTTTCCATTCTGGTGGAAGAGATGGATGAGAACACATGAATTAGGAAGTGTAATTTTGTCCACTGCTAGGTTTTATGGAGAAAGGGAAAGCAGGTTACAGTGACAGAGGTAAAAGCAGGTGGACCTTTGTGTTAAATACAGGGGTCTGGAGAGCTCTCTCTGAGGATGTGGGTGGGAATGGAGTGGGCTGGACCAGAGGAAGATCTGGGGTAGGAGCATTTCAGGAGGAGGGCAAGGCCCATGGAAAGCCCCCTGACATCTTTAAGAAAAAGCAAGAAGGCCAGTGGGATTGAACCGAGCTGCTGGGAGTCACTGGGTCTGAGCTGGGAGAGGCAGGACTCCAGGTTTTATTCTGAGTGAGATGGGGGATTTGGAAGGGTTGTGAGCAGGGGGGATGCATGGTCTGTGTTGGAAAGATCACTCTGACCACAAGGGCATTGATAGAGAATCCACCCAGGGCAGTGATGGGGAACCCACCAGGGGGCTGGTGTGTCTGAGCTGGGCAGTTTCTCCAGGGGCACCTGCAGTGGCAAAAGGGGGCTCTCTCTGGACCTCCCCCATTCAGTGGGCCCTGCGGGAGCTTGGCTGGCACCTTGACGTGCTTGATGGATAACTCAGTGTGCTCTGTTGAGAAGTCCAAGGCCCTGTTCAGAAACCCTGGGGTCTACACACTGTGGAGCGCTCCTGGCCTGCGACAAGTGCCCTCCCTCTTCTCATTTCTAAACCTTGCGCGTGTGGATTCAGGACCAAAATTTCGACTCCAGGGAAGGGGGCCTGTGCCAGCACCACTCCAGGGGAGGTGAGTGGAGGGTTGCCCAAACTGCAGGGTGTTCCTAGAACACCTGTCAGCTGCCTCACTAATGCTCGGTGTCCACTCTGTCCACAGGATGGTGGCTGGCAGCCACTCCCCTTGGAGAAGTGGAAGGGGACTCCTTGTCTGTCTTGTCTCTGCTTTTCTGTGGTACTTGAAGAGAAGTTGTTCGTGGTGGATTCGCTTTACTTATGACGAATCATTCACGGACAACACTTTTTTCAGTACCAAATGCTACCTCTAAGGACTTCCTGGACACAATGGCAGCTTCAGGAAACATAGTCTTTGTGTCAACCATGTGGAGAAGCCAGGAATGGATGGCGGGCCGTGGACAGTGCGCTGACCTAGCTGTAAGTCACCTGGCCCGATAACTCGAGCGTCCTATGCACCTATAAGAGGCCTTCCTGTGGGTCTCGCCAGCTCTGGGGAATCAGCTGTGGTTCTGTCACCAGCGTCACCTCACGAGGCTTTGAAGAGAGGCTCCCTGGGCCCCAGGCCGACTTCCAGAAGAGATGTTGGTGTCAGCACCGTCCAGGGTGTGTGACTGGTTGACCAGAGGGGCGTGCACTGTGTTCACCCTGTGGGCCACCTAGTCACCAACCCTCAGCATCACTCCCACCCCAGGAAGACTTTCCAGAGCTCCCACCGACTCTGGGGAAGCGGCCATGGACTTGCTGTGACTGCTTGGTGGACCGGGATGACACGTACTCTTGGGGGTGTGTGTTTACTTAAAATGCAATGAGTCAACCTTGGTGGCTCCTTCACCCAGTCACAGCCTCCTTGAAGTGTTGACTTCCGATGTTGGACGCCACATTGTCTTCTGTTGAGGGACCTGATGCAGGCCAGTTTTTCTCCTGGGTGTGTGACTGAATCCTTCTTCCCAGAGCATGTGCTGCGTTTATTAGGGCTGTCACCTTGTCCTCTAATACCCAGCATCCTGTCTCTCCCTAGAAGGCTCCGTGGAGGTGCTGCGGCTTTGGGAAACAGCCATGATTCTCCTGTCAGGAACAAGTGAGCTACACAGAAGTTCCCTGTCTTGCCCAGGAGGACGAACTGCATCGTTGCTGCTGGGGAGAAGGCAGTGCCCTCAGCACTCCCCTAAGGTAAGTGCGCCTCGGGTGAGCATGCACTTAACGTGGGTGTATGTCACTCGGCTCGGCCCACTACCCAACGCTATCCCACCCATTCCTAACAGGACTCCCGAGAGGGGCGGCCACCTCTGCAAGAGAGGCAATGGATTACTACTCACCAGTGTTCATGTGTGGTACTTGGAGAGAGGCTGGCCGTGATGAATTCGATTCATCAAAGCGAGTCATACACGGCTCTCCTCTCTTTTAGTGTCAAATTCTGCCTCGGAGGGCTTCCTGAGCTGCTTCCAAGGTAGGTTTCTGGATGGCTGAACCCATGGCAAGCACTTTTCTGAGGATGCATGTGACTGACCTACTAACTTTAGAGTCCAGGCTGACCCTCAAACAACTTCCTGGGGCGCTACCAGCTTTAGGAAAATCGAGAGAGGTTGTTGGGATGCCCTAATGTTTTAGAAGTTAAGATTGAAATACACATGGCTGACTTCTTTTTTCATTCCTATCAAATTCAACCTTGCAGTTGAATCTTGGGCATCTAGAAGCATCTTTAATAGTCAGCCCTCGGGATACAGAAGAGAACAGAAACAGGACTCTGTGTGATCCCTGGTTTACTAACCCACAGCAGCCTCACACCCTCCAGAGAATTCCTTTAAGGGAATCCCAGGTTTACCAAGGAGGCAGTGCTTAGCCTGCTTTTGCAGACACATTTGTGTGTGGTTTGCTTCATTTTTAATGACTCATGTGCCACTGACATCTTTGCATTATTAAGTATTGCCTGCATGGCCAGCTGAGCACAGGAAGTGGTATTTCTGTGCGCACTAATCCTGGGTTGGTGAACCTGGGGTTGGCTGGAGAGCATGGGTTTGAGCCACCTGGTCCACTCATCCTCAGGGTCCCATCCACCCTCAGAGGCCACTCCCAAGCTGCCCAGGCTGTGCAGAAGATGCAGGAATGCTGTGAGCAGTGCCACCTCATGGTACTCGGAGGGAGGTTGTCCGTGGTGAGTTCGCATTATTTAATGATGCCCAATACACGGTCGACCTCTTTTCGGTATCAGATCTCACCAGGTGTCTTCTTGGACCTGATGCCGATTTAGGGGACACCATACTCATGTTGGTTCCACACCAGTGCAACTGAACATGTGTTTGGCCCTGTAACCAATGGGTAGGTGCTGCTAGCACTCCTAATCCTCAATCAGTGCATTCCTGGGGAAGAAGCATGTGATCTGTGCTCAAGACCCCTCTGTGACTGAGGAAGTGGTGGTGCCCATGTTGCTTCCTGGGTTTTGTATTTTTTCAAAGAAAAATAATATATAGTTCTCTTCTCTTTCACTGTTAAATCTTGTCATGGAGGAAGGACTTCTTAGACATGTTGACAAATTCAGGGAAGGGGCATTGATTTCAGTGTTTTTGGGGACTCACTGGAAGGGTGATTCACCACATCTGTTGATCTGGAGGCCACATCAAATTTAAGAACAGAGGATAGTTGCATTTTCAATTTCTTGTTTTTCTTTTCAAAAAGGATAATTATTCTACCTTATTACCATATTTATAAAAATGACACATGCTTATGATAAAATTCAAGCGATGTGGAAAAATCTAAATGAAAAAGAGGGAAAATTGCCCAATTCTCTGGGCACCCAGAAATAACCATTAAGGGCTTTAGAAATTTCATACACCTGTCTGAGCATACATGCAAACAGAAAAACAAGACAGACACAGAGAAAATATGAGATCACACTGTACCTAATCATTTTATTAAAAATGCTAACTATAATTTTACTTCAATTTATCATAAAGAACAAGCTAAAGGAGATTGAAATGATTGATAAATATTTCTCGCTTCACCGCCAGAGGTAACAACTCCTAAAAGATCCCCGTAAAATTAAGAAAAATTAGTGTGTAAAAATTAAGTGGTTGGGATTGTTATGGTTTTTAACTATTTCAGTTTCAGTCCTAGTTCAGAAAGATAAAGAAGTCAGCACTCTTATTCTTTGCTTATTATCTCCTGCTTTTTCTCAGTTATATATTTTAATTTTACATAATTAATATCTGCAATTTGTTCTAGAACTATAATTCTTGCAAGTGTTTAGCCATAGTCCTATATTTAAATGAATTCATTTCTGACCACAAGGTTGGTTTGTTTGTTTTAACTGAGGTTTCTCCATTCTTTAGTTTTCAACTTTAATTTGTCTCTCAGTGGAATTGATCTTATTGTTTCTGTGAGAATAGCTCATAGACACTACCCTTGAGTTCTGGTGCATTTACGAATATGTATCTCTTTCTTTTATGCATAAGGGACAGCTTAGCTAGGTATAAAAGTCTCAGCCTACTTGTTTTTTCTCAGAAATTTATAGCTGTTGTCCACTGTCTTTTGCATTGAGGCTTTCACTAGCTGTCTTAATGTGGCTTCTCCATGTAGCCCTTACTTACCTGGACTATTTTATGTAGTGATCTTCACAAACCTTGTTAGAAACACTTTGGGATACTATGTTCTGTGAGGTATTTCATCTTTGAGAATGTCTGACCATTGCTTTTACACCTTTTCTCATCTGTCCATTTCTTTTCATGCTGTTCTATTTGGCCTTTAAAGATATGTATTGTACAATTTCTTTCAGCTTTAGGGATACAAGCCCCTTTCTTTGTTGAATCTATTGACTCTCATGATGGTGCTTTTCTTTGTGGTTTTTGTAGCTTTGTGTTGTGAGGTTATCATCAGTTGAGCACTAAGGTGTTTCTGTTTTGTTTCAATCCCTATGTACATGAGTTTGCATTTGGTTCTGCCTGGCACCCCAAGGAATTTACCAGTTGGTGCCAGTTTTCTAACTCATTTTGTTGGCTTACGGATTCCCAGACATATGGTTGGCATAAGTCTTCACCATATCTTTGTCCTGAAGCTTTGGTATCTCACAGGAGACCTCTTTCTATCCACTCCCTAAAAATGACAAATGCTCTTATCATCCCTGGCTATTATAAAATTTTCTGGTTCCCTTTTCCATTCCTAGATCAACTTCTCCTGGACCCACGGTCATGTCTTTTTATTCTGCTTATACTTGAACTTGACTATAGACTCTTGGAGCCTCTAGCCAGCACAGCACCCCTTAGGTCCCTTAGTAGGAGGTTGCAAACATGTTGCTCTGAACTCGTTTTTTTCATTAACACCTGAGGGTTTTGCCTTTCAGTTGTATGTTTATTTGGGAATTGATTTTGGCTGTGGTTGCATTTTATCCAACACTTCTCAACATTTTTGGAGGAGAGGGTTCCTTACCAGCGCTTGTTGCTGGGATGGAGCCTTTGAGCTGAATGATGGGTGAACTTGGCATGACATTCTTGGCTCCCAGTTTCTTCCCTCTGAACTTTGTAAACTTTGCTCCATTGCTTTCTGGTATTAAACCACGGTTGTGGACAAGCCTGGGGACAGTTTCTTTCCCCTTGGATGGATGAACTTTTTTTTTCCTACTTAGATTTCCTGATTCTTTCTTTAGTCTTGAATATTGGTGACTTTACCGGGTTATGACTCAATCGCTATTTTTATTCATTAGTTTTTCTGAATCATAGTATGCCTTCTTGATGAGTAGATTTAATCATTCCTTTGTTTTGAGGATTTATTCATGTTATGAGCACTTTTCTACTCCAGTAGTTGGTCTTTTCTTCGGTGAAATAATCTGTTTTGTTCATTTCATTATGTGCTGGAGGAGAAGAAAGTCTGTCATCTGGCCCCTTGCTGCCATCTCTGTCTGCACATCAGTCTGTTGTCATTTGCACTGTGCATTTGTCTATTTAAAACAATCCTACACAGATGCCCCCTCCTCAGTGTCACCTTCCACCCTGGCAGGATGCCTTATGGCAATGCCCACTTCTGAGATAGTCGTGGGAGCCAGCCCCACTGGCCAGGTATGTGAATTTTCTGTTAACAATGGAAGATTTTGAAAAACCATATATGCTGTACCATTAACCCCAAGCATACAATCTATCCTTAGGAAGACTTCCTGGAAATTATGCTCACCTTTGGGGATGAGGCCATGATTCTGAGGTCAGTGCCATGCCATGGTCTAATTAAGTTTGCATTCAATGCTATTTGTTTCTTTCTGATCAATATTGTAAAGTCAATCTCTTTGTCATGGACTCAGCTTTGGAGGACTTCCTGGACACAAGGCCTGTGTAAGGAAAGGATTGTTACTGTCAGCCTCGATGCTAATGTGAGATAAGGGAATGTATCCTGCTCTGATCCAAATGCCGAGTTTCTGTGCACTTGGCCTCTCCACCATCAAGCTCCCTGGAAGTGCTTCTCAGGCGTGCACCCACCTTGGCTAAGGCGTTGAGGTCTGGGTGGCTGCAGGGTCCAGGATGGGATGGTTGAATATGGGGCGTGTGCTTTCTTTTCAACCCTCTTGCAGTCAGTCTGCTAACCCTCAATGTTCACTGTCTCCTAGGGGGACTTCCTGGAGGAGGCCAACTTTGGAGAAGAGGCACTGACACCGGGTCTGTGCTAGCGTGAGGTACTTGAAGATAGGTTATCCGTGTTGCCTTCGCTTTATTTGTGACGAATCATACACGGTTGACCTATTTTTCAGTACCAAATCCCGCCTTGGAGGGCTTCCTGGAGCGGAATCTCACTTCAGGGCAGGACCTTGGTGTCAGCTCCTCTCCAGGGTAAGCAAAGGGACCATTGACCGTAGCTGACCCAGCAGAGAATGTGCTTTCCTGAGGCCGTGTGCCCCGGCCCTAACCCTGTGTGTGCCCCATCCTTGGGGAGGTTTCTAGAGATGGTGCCAGCTTTGGGGAAGAAGTGGGGCTTTTCCTCTCAGAGCTACTCTGTGGTACTGGTGGAGAGGTCTTCCAGGATGCCTTCAATTTATTCTTTTACCAATCCTACATAGTGGACCCTTTTGAAAGCATTAAATCTAGCCTTAAAGCACCCTCGGGTGGTGCCGAGTTTAGGAACTAGAACTGGTGTCTGAATGCCTGGACGGATGGCGACGCTGACCGTGTGCACACTCTTCTTGGTGGACCGTGCACCTGCAGGGCGTCCTGCTTGCTCACCACGGCGGTTTCCTCCAAAGAGGCAGCAGCTCCCTTGTCAGCTCACTTTGTGTTTGACAAGACGCCGTCTTGCTGTCTTCCCTGCTGCCCTCTCTTCACGTATCACAGAAGGTGCTCTGCAGACCTCTCTGCTGTGGCACGTCCCTCCCTGAATGGCTTCCTACAAGAGACGCTAACTGCAAGTAAGGGATGGAGTACGGCCCAGACCACAGAGTGTGTTTCATGGGTAGTCTGTTGCCACCTTCCTGACTCTCGGAATCCCGTCCGTCCTCAGGCCTGCTGCTGGGATGCGCTGGAAGTGAGCGCCCGAGTCAGGTACTCGAATGGAGGTTGTCCATGGTGTGTTCATTTTATTTATGATGAGTATTACATGGCCAATCTCCTTTCGGTACTCAATTCTTCTTGGGAAACGTCACGAAGGGCAAGCCCAGCCGGCACCTGCTCAGGGTAAGGAAGTGGATCACCTCCGCGGCAGGCGCTCTCTGTGTGACTTACATCACTTGGCCCAGCGTCCCGGCCATCATTAGGAGGAATTCACCGAAATGATGCTGACGTTTTAGTTGACATGGTGGTCTTCTAGTCGCGTCCTTGAAGACTCATTAGTGAATAAATCACATTTAGTCAGCTTTTTTAGGTGTGAAATCATCTTGGCTGTGTGGCACACTTTAGGGAAAGGAGCTCCTGGCTGAATGGAAGACATTCACATTAACCCCTCAAATACCTTATCTTCGGGGTGACCCCTGGGAAGCAAGGGGTGGAGGGGGTCTCCTCGGCAGGGATAATTGATGTTGTTTAAAGACGCGTTTCCATGGCATGACTCGGTTATTCCTACTGCAAGATGAAAATCATTAATAGCATTTATTACTATCTTACGTTGCCAGCTGTGTGCCCTTGGAAAATCCCTTCACCTGTCAGCTCTGTGGGCCTCAGTCTCTTTCTCTGTAAAGCAGGGTTAACAGGGGAGTGGAAGTGTGCTCTTTGTGAAGTGTCTAGACAGCATGTGGCATGTGGCTGTAGGATAAGCATTGTTTCTGAGGGTGGTCCTTATATGAATGTTATGTCATCTGCACTTGTTGTCCTCTTGCCGCTAGAATGGAAGCTCCTTGAGGGCAGAGTCCTTGTTTGTCTTGCCTGGTGCTGTGTCCCCAGGTGTGCACAGTAGGTGTGATGCTGAATGAATGAATAGGCGACATGACCTGTTTTCTTGGTTGAATTCTCTTTGAGGCCTCCTGGAATGGAGTGCATGGAGGACAGTCACCTGAACCTGTGCTGTCCCTGTGACACAGCCCCACCCACCCTCTGAGGATGCTGCACTGGAAGAGGAGTCACCAGCCTTCAGGTCAGGTCCTCCCTCAACCCCCTGTGTTGAGGGACCTTGGTGTCCCAGCCCCCCTAGGATAGGTGACCAGGGGCCGACTCGAGCTCGGGCTGACCCACGCTGTGTGTGCGCATGGCCTCACCCACACCGCCTGCTCCACAGCTACAGGAGCTGGTCCATGACCAACCGTGTTCTGACCACTGCCTGGGGGGCTCCTCGGAGGTAGAGAAAGAGAGAGAAAGAGAGCAAGAGGGGAGAGAGCGAGCGAGCGAGCCAGCAAGCCTGCAGCTGGAGTCAGCAGGGAGGCCCCGAAGGCAATGCCACCTTTGGTGAAGAGGCATCTCGGTGTGTTCTTGCCTGTGCTGACGTTTGACCCTTGAGCAGAGGTTGCCCTTGGTGAATTCGCTTTATTTATGTTGAATCACACAAAGGCAACTTTTGTTTGAGTATCAAATCCTGCTTGGGATGGCTTCCGGGACCCAGTGGCAAGCTCAGGGGCATCTACGCCCCTCCCTTGAGCAAGAATGGATGGGGTAGACGTGGGTGGTCTGCCCTCTGCAGTCCTCTGCGGTGGATGAGAACAGATGTCGATCAGAGAACACAAGCTTCATTCATGATGGGGGTGGGGCCTGCGGCCCGGGGAGGATGGCGTTGGTGTCACATGGGCTTTAGCTCTTACCCTGGACCCTCTCTCTTCACATCACCATGTTGGCTGTGTTGATCCCGAAGACGTTTCGACCGCACCAAGTTTTTTTCGAAAGATATTTGACCTTGCGGATAAACAAAGTGCTCACCCTTGGCAGTGTCTGTGACGAGGCTGCAGCCCCAGACCCCTGTCTCGCTCACAAGTGCTGTGTTTTTTTTCTATGCCTTTCCTTGTCTCTATTTTTCTCTTTCTATCCCCCAGCCAAACATTGGTCCCAATTTTCTCCTGGGTTATGAAACAAATAGAGGCCATCAGTATCTCATCCCATTTGTATTAAATAATAGTGATAAAAACAATCAACACAAAATAAAACTAAAGCAGCTGAAACGGCACAGCACTAAATGTGTTCAGTTGAGTACAAATTGGCAGAAGAATCCAATTTTCTTGACAACATTTCGGCTGCGACATTTGACCTGGGGAAATAGAAAGCTGCCGACGTGGCAGCCGCAGAAGGAAATTGATGGTGGCGGCGGCGATAAACAGCAATATTCGATGTAGACAAAAGCACATTGAGGAACCAAATCTTTATTCAGATTTTTAAATGGAAAAGAATTGATCCTAATGAAAATGATTTGGGGAAAATAACAAGGGAAATAAAAGAAATGCAAACAGCTCAACAGCGCAGTCAAGACAGCTAAACAGGGAATTGGATTAGTGTAATGGCATTCGCTCTGAAAAACACGTTTCTATGAAAATCAGTGTCGGTGCAATTCTTGTGAAGATGGTTACATTTGTGTATTTACAGTGGAGTTGCTGGGGTCAGTAGGAATCTAGGGTCAAAAAATGGGATACAGTCTCTTCCCTTATGCAGTTGATCTTTCCTTTCTGCCCCAAACCTTCCCGAGAGCTTCCTGGAAAGGTGTGCTGACTTCAGGTGTGACACACTGCTAAGGCGTCCTCCCGGGGATCTGGGTGCATGTTGTCCCCAGAATATTCACTATGTAACTGACAGGCATCACCTGGTCTCCCTCCATCCCCACGGGGGATTCTGGGTGAGACGCTGACTCGAGGGAAGCAGAAGTTCTACCATCATTGGGGTCTGGTCTTTCAGGACAGTTGCTTCTGTGAGCCCAGGAAATCTGAGACAGCTCTCAGTTAATTTAGAAGGTTTATTTTGCCAAAGTTGAGGATACACCCATAACACAGCCTCAGGACGTCCTGTGGTCAAGGCACAGCTTGGCTTTATAAATTTTAGGGAGACATGAGACATCATTCAACATACGTAAGAAGTACATTGGTTTGGCCTGCAAAGGTGGGACGACTTGAAGCGAAGGCAGGAAGAAGGAGGGAGCCTCCAGGTCACAGATGGGTGATACACAAACAATTATATTCTTTCGCATTTCTGATGAGCCTTTCCAAAGGAGGCAAATCAAATACGCATCTGTCTCAGTGAGCACAGGGGTGACTTTGAATGAAATGAGAGGCAGGTTTATCCTGAGCAGTTTCCAGCTTGACTTTTCCTTCGTGATTTTAGGGGCCCGAGATACTTTCCTTTCACACTTCCGAGGCTGTTGCTGAACACACAGGAATCCGGGAACACTCTGAGGTTTAGTCCTTCCTCAGACTGTGCTGTTGACACCTTACATGGTTCCATGCTGGTCCCAAGGACATGCCCTTCGTTGGTGCTGAATGTCAGTTGGTCATGGAGGCCGAAAGTCATTCTGGAGTTGGTTTCCAAGGTCAGAAACCTTGCCGGGGCTGTGGAAAGAGCGCGTTGTTTGCTGGTGTGCTTTGTCTGTGACCAGCATTGCACATGGCTCTCTTTGCAGATCGAGCCCTACCTGGAGAATTTCCAGAAGCAACAGCACCCTCAAGGGGCAGCCTGCAGCCAGAGCCCTCTCCAGGGTAGGTGCCTGAGGGCCACCCATGGGACAGGCCCGATTGTACCCATGGTGTGTGTCATCTGCTCCCCTCCTGCCGACTCCAGTGCGTTCCGGGACCGCCTTGGGAGGTGATGCCTGCCCTGGGAAGGAGGTTCTGCTGCAGGTCAGTGCCCATGGCTCCTGACGGGAAGTCGTCTGTGACATCTTTTCTTTCTCTACAGCAGGCCCCGCATGGCAGGCCCCTTGCTCCACTTGTAGCAAGATGCAGAGGGTTCTCTGAGCTCATGCCAACGTCAGGGAAAGGATTCTGCTGTCGGTCCCACTCCAAAGTGCATAGAATGGGTGGTGGGCACAGAATCCGGACTCTGCTTGTGGCAGCTGTCGTCCGGCCCGATGCTTGTTGGCTGCCCGCTCCAGGAGGCGCCTTCTGGGTGTTCTCTGAGTCTGGGGAAGGTTGGGTTCTGAGGTCAGGGCTGCCCTGACCCTTGTAAAGAGAAGACATCTGTGACTCTCCTGCTTTCTTCTGCTGCGTTTATCCCCCCAGTCCCTTATTTTTAACGTCTCACTTGCTTTATGAGGCTAATCAGATGGTCAGCCAGCTGTTGATAACTGTGAAGTCACCCTCTGAGGGATCCTGGGGTGATGCCTCTGTGGGCTGGAGATGGTGCTGGTGAGACCGCGGGTCTGGGGTCAGCGTTGTGCCCTGTTGAGCTCCTGCCAAAGGCATCCTCTGCTGGGAGGGAGGCTCTGTGCTTGTGCAGGGGTCCCTATAGGGTCACCCCCTCTCAGGGTCTGGGAATGAAAAGCAGGTGCGAGCAGCAGGGTTTCATCTTCATCTTTAGCAAGGTGCCCAAGGAAGGTTGCCGTCTTTTCAGTATAAGATCCTACCTGGGTCTTGCACTCACCTTCTGGGAAGAGGCTCCAGAGTCATTCTGGAAGGGGTTGGAATGGTTGGACTTGGCAATTGGGAACATCCTTGGAGAGTGTGAGACTCTGGTCTCTGAATGTCCAGACCTTGTGCTGCCCTTGGGGGAGGGTCTTCCGCAATCACGGCCGCCTGCAAGCATCCTCCTTAGTTCGAGCATCTGAGCCTCTCCGTGGTACTCGGGGAGAGGTTACCCGAGCAACTTTGCATCTGGACGACGAATGTTGCTCGGTGAACCCCTTTTCGGTATCAAATTCCACCAGGGAGGCCGTCTTGGAGGCTGGGGCACCTCGGGGAAGGACGCCAGCATCAGCACCATTCTGGGGTACGGGGATGGATGGTCGACCAGTTGGAAAGTAATTGTTTCTAATGTACTTCACCTGGTCCACTAGCCGTCCGTATCCGCTGCAGCCTGTGGGGCCTGCGGGCCGGGGAGCCGATCGCGCTTCAGCTCAGCGCCTTTCCTGGTACTTGAAGGGAGATCGACCGTGTTATATTCGCTTTATTGACTTCGAATAATACATGGTTGATCTTTTCTCAGTATCAAATCTCACCTTGGAGGACTCGTTGGAGATGAAGCCCTTTGGAGGGTGGGAGCGGAACAGGTGCTTTGGAGTCACGGTCTCAGTGGGGGCCTGGTCACTGAGGGTGGGCCGGGCGGGGTCTCTTTCCTGTCTCTGTGTCTTCTCACCTTTGGTGTCCCATCCATCCTCAGGACAGCTTCCCGGGGGCGACGCTGGCACCACGGGATGCAGCAGCCACGTTCTTGAGCCGATGGCACTCTGGGTACCTGAGGAGAGGTTGTCTGTGATGAGTTCGCTTTTATTAATGACGAATATAACACAGATGGCCTGTTTTCAGTACCGCTACCGCCCAGTGGTGTGCGGGCGCCACGCCTGAGTGGGCCTTTTCAGGGTATGTGAATGCATGGGCTGAGGTGACATTTGTCATCCTTTGCACTGACCCCTGCCATCGAATCATTTTGGGAGAGCTTTCGGGGGGCCATGTGGACTTTGGGGAAGATGCTGGGGTTGTGCACTGGGGTGGGGAGCGGTCATGAAGCTGATGAGCAATGGGTGACGGGGCTCAGTCTGTTTTTCATGGCCAGTGCCATCAAGGCAGAGGACTCGGGGGAGCTAGTCCTGCTGGAAGGCATCCTGCTGGAAGGCCACCCGCCCCTTGCCAGGGTGTTGGGGGCGGCTGCATGCATTCCCTGCACCCGGGCTGCCTTCTGCTCGTCCAGTGCTGTGAGACCCTGGGTGGGAGCCGGTGCCTTGGGTGGCCGTGTGTGTGTGCTGCTTCCCACAGTGCCTGAGGAGAGGTGGCCTGTGTTGCATTCACAGAAATCATGACACACAAGACACGATCAGTCTCTCTTCAGTGTCAGATCCTGCCTGCATGATTCCTGCACCTGCTGATGTCGGGGAGGGCCAGATGTGCACCCTGGGGGTCCCCAGAAGGCATGGCTGGTGGCCGAGCAAGCGCTTGACTTCCACCTGCAGCCCTGTGCTGGCCTCCGCCCTGGAGGCAGGTGGCGGGTGGCAGGGCCCGTCACTGAGGAAGAAGCCTCCTCCCCGGAGTCAGCGCTGCTCAGTGGTACCTGAAATAGGTTGCCTGTGAGGTGTTCACTTTCTATATGATGAATATTATACAGTCAACCTCTTTCCGATATCGAATCCCACCTTGGATGCCTTCCTCTTCGCTGCCGACTCCAGGCAGCAGCTGTCTCTGCGCTGGTTGACCCCATGGACTTTGTGTAGGACCTGTGTCACCTGGCCTGTTAATTTTCCAGCTCCACCCTGTTCTGGAGGGCTTTGGAAGTGTGACAGAATGGCATCCCCGATTCCAGTGTCAGTGGCAGCACCCGCCATGCCCTTGCTTCGGTCGGCACGTCCTCCAGGCTGGGCTGGCCTTCAGCTACCTGATGCTTATGTCATATTTGCACCCCTGGCCTGCCCAGACTACAGGAAGATGACCAGAGGCCTGTTTGCAGCTGACCTGGAGACTTAGTGACTCCAGAATGTGCTGCCCATGCCCAGGGTCCAGGGCCGAAGGCAAGGAGCACCTCAGGAGTGACCCCAAAGAATGAGCTACGGCTGCCCTTTACCGCTCATTGTTGATCAGTGAGTTCCTGGGCTCGGGAGGGCTTCGTGAGCCTGGCTCCCATCATCCCTATTGAGACATCACTGCCTTGGAAGTCGCAGCCCTGTGCCTGCCTTCCCTCTTGTGGGCTTCTCCTCAGGACCGCTCCTCTCTGTGCCCAGCATGGGAGTGGGGATCCCCAGCACCGTCCCTCTGGGCTGCTGCTGCCACTCTCCCTCGGCACCCCTGTTCCCCAGCCCCTGGGCCACACCCTGCTGGAGAGGCCGGCCCTACTAGCTAGGCCCCTCTGGCCACTTGGGTCTCCCTCCAGTGCCCCCTCCCTCTGCCAAGGAGAGCATTTGCAAGTGCAGAGTCCAGCTGTTTACCTGCACTGCCCAGAGCACCTCTGCAGGCCCCTTCCCTCGGGCTTGGTGCCAAGATGGTCCGAGGACTCCCCAGGCCCCCGGAGTGGCAGCCCCCCTCTTCTTTTGGAGCCACAGCCTATCCCCCATGTGTTTCCATCCTTCGTTCTGGCCCTGCACACGCCCCTCCTTCCGGAGCTGAGTCCTGGGCGGCCCTGCTCTGCCCTCGGCTACCTCCTGTCCAGGCTCCAGCCCTTCCTTCCTTAGAGGCCCACATCCTTTGCATTTTCCTTTCCCAGGGGTTCACACTTCCCAAGGGGATGGAATGTCTCTTGTTCAGCAAGGTCGTCCCTGATAACCCTGTAAAAGCAGCTCTTCCCTTGCCTCTTCCCCATCACTTTCTAACAGTTGCCCCGTTACTGTTTTCTTCCTAGCTTACAGCTCTCTGAAATTGCCTAATGTTAATGTCTACTTTCTCTGTGTCCTAGACTGTGAGATCTCTCACTGGCAGAAATTTCTCTCTCTCTCTCTTATCCTCTGCTGTGTCCCCAGCACTGAAACAGTAGCAGAACAGGAGTGTTTGTTGACTGACTAATGGAGTCCCCAAAGACAGGGACTGGATCAGGTGAATCCCCAGGCAGGTGCAGGGCCCAAAAGCAGGCACTCAATAAGATGTGGTGATGGAGTACATGAATATGTTAATCGAGTTTTAGAAATTCTTCCCATTTGTTCAAAGCTGTGGTTTTCCAGCTTTTCCTGCCCTTCCAGGATGGGGCTGAGATTTGTTGCAGGAGGCACAAGTCAGCTGGGTCTGGGTTCTCTCTTCCACTTTCCAGAGAGTAGGGGCACCAAAGCCCCAGAGGAAGTGACAAGCCCCGTGTTCCCCTGCAGATGCTGACTGAGCGCGCCCCCGCCCCTCCAGCAAACGCCCCAGCGTTGAGAGCCAGATGCTCTGGGGAATTCCATCTGCAACGGGCTGGAGCATGGTGTTAGGGCTCATATTTTATGCATGGGGCTGACTAAATGGGAACATTTGGAGATGAAAATTGCTGTTAATGCATCTACACATCTTTGGAATATATTAAATGTGCGTGTGAGGGGGAGAGTGACATTAGCCTTATTTAATAGCTTCAGTGTAACCATCCCCACACACCGTGGCATTAACAGACACAAGCCCCCCTCCCCGAGCCTCCCAGGCCACCACTCGGGAAGAGTGCTGGGTGCATCACCTGCCACTTGAGAATTACACGTGAGTCCGGCATCAGCCTGGCATTCGGCAGTGTGCATGTTCCCCGCCCATTTCTAACCCAAACACAGTGACCCTGTGCCAAACTCGATGCAGAATTTCATTAAAAGCAAAAATGATTGATTTCTCTATTGTTTGCGCAGAAGAAAGAATAAACAAAGGGCCTTTCTCATCAGATAAGCCAAACGAGAACGTGTGCCCCCCAGGTGGCCAGGATGAAGGTTTTCACGGACCCTTCAGCCAGAGGGCCAGTGACTTGTCCCATCTCCAGGGTGGTGTGTAAACCCTGCCGCCGGTCCAGGTTCACGAGGTGTGCTCCTTTCTCCAGCGCAAGGGCCCGGTTTATCCCCACTATGTCTCCTGGAGGTGGTTAGGAAATTGAACAACCTGGACCTCCGTTCCCATTTCCTTGTTGTTTTCAGCCAGAGATAAGAGGAGAAGTAATAGCTGTCCTAAAGGGGTGCTTGCCTTGGTCCTGGGCCCCATCAGCTGCTGTGAGTGGACAGTTTCTGTTCCACAGTTGAGGAAATGGAGCACAGAGAGGTTGAGTGACTCAACCAAGGTCACCCAGCTGGAGGTGGGGCAGGGTCTGGCTCCAGGCTGTGTGCTCTTACCCTGCTTGCAAGGGCTTTAGGAATAGCCCCTGTGTCCTGGAAGACAGATTGCTCATCAAATGGGCCTCTTTTCTTGGTATTATATGGTGAAGTAGGCTCACTTTCCCCAAGACTTAGCTTTCCAGAATGTTCATGGTTTTTTTCTCTGTACCCACCCCTCGTCTCTCCAACATGGTGCCGTCACCCATGAAATGGGATGCTTTCGTGCGTGCCTGGCCTGGGGAGAGGGCTGCTTGCTTTGTCAGAAGACTCCAAGCATGATGGGCATTGAAAAACCAAAGACCTTTGTTGACCTGTGTTTTTCACTCTGCTTAATGGTAATTGAGGGCTGTATTCACTGCCTCGGTTGCATGGAGTGAACAAGACCTAGCGAAGGTGACGGGTGCCCTGAGACCATCTGGTTGATCTCTCCTGGGCAGGACCAGGTGCTCCCCTCACTGCCCCCACCCTTGTCTGTGTACCACTACTCTGCACAAACACGGCGGCTGGTGCAGTCCTGGAGGCCCACTTAGCTCACGGTTGTCAGGGGTCCTCAAGGATTCAGAGAACCCCCAAATGTCAGGGCTGCTCCCTTCTTGTCCTGCCTCTCTGCTCACACCCTTGGACAGGTAAGAAAACCGAGGTCCACAGAGGGGAGGGTGCACTGCTGTGGCTTTTGTTCTGAACACTGTCTCCCCAACTTTGGGGTCGGGGCTCCGGGGTCAAGACCCACTTCTGATGAACAAGCAGCTTCCTTCTTTGTAAAAATTGAGGCGATCCAAACCAAGAAGGGCTGCAAAATCACCAAGTTGGGACCTCAGTACCCACGGGGCTAGGGTTTCAGCCACCCTGTGGCAGAGCTTTTAGAAGCCAGGGCCCTTGGCTCAGCAGTGCTGGCTCATAGTAGGTGCTTAGTTCATGCCTGTCTCCTTGGATGAAATCTGACCACAGACACCAGTGCAAAGCAGGTGTTCAACACAGGAGGGTGTACTGAACCCGATCTCTCTATCACCAGGAGGAAGCACACAGGAGGCATGCAGAGCACGTTTGTGGAATGAATAAATAAAAACGTATCTTTGAGGAAATAAAGAAGAAGAAAAACAAAGAAGAATCCGGGGAAGATGGGCATAAATCTCCACCAAGTGCTGCCAAGGCTTCCCAACCAAGGCTGCTGAAAAGACCCTGTGGAGGTAGAGGGACCATTTGTCATGGATGGGAACGGGTTGGGAAGCAGGGCGTGATGGGGCCTCATTCATCATTTTCCCGTTATCCCAGCGACATGCAGGGGAGCAGGTACAGCACCCGTCTGTGCAGCTGCGCTGCCTGCCCAAAGGCTCTAGGTCCTGAGTGGAGTGAGTGCCAGGCTGGGGACTGGGAATGGAAAGGACCCCAAGGAAGGACAAGCTGAGCTCTGGGAGGCCACCTCCTCCAGGAAGCCTTCCCTGATTCATCCTTCACAGGCACAGAGTCTCAATTTGCAGTCAGATATCCATTGCTCTGATTCTTAGATCAGCAAGTATCTCCCTACCCAGACTGCAGGCTCTGCTGGGGCCGGGGCTGTTTCTGACTTGTGCACAATGGCATCCCTGTACCTAGTACAGGACTGAGTCCAGAGAAAGTGCTCTGTGATGCTTGTTGGCCTTATCTCCCCTTTGTGGGCAGCACTGGAGAGGGCACCCGGCAGGTCCTCAGGGTGTGGACATCCCACGGCAGAGCCTGTGGTTGATCCAGAGCATGAACTAAGGCCTGGGGCGGGGGTGGCCACATCAGGCCACTTCTGCCAGGAGAGATGTGGCTGTGAGCTGGGGAGCCTGGCCTGCCCCCGGAGGCATTTGTTGGGTTTGCATCCGTCAGAAGGTCTACTGGTTGCCTCTATTTGGGTCTGGAGCAGGGATGGGATTTTTCCAAGGTACATGGGGTCTAGGGGAGACCCAGGCCCACTATTAGGGTCGGTCTCGAGAAGGCAGAGATAAGGCCACCACTTTATTTGGTGTAGTTCCTGGCTCCATCGGTGTGCGTTGATTGAATGAATGAACCAGGACTCTTGATTCCTGCCCAGAGCCCCCTCCACACCCCACACAGCCTTGCTCCAAGGAGAAGGGGTCAAAGCCAACTGAACAGTGCTACAGTGTGGGGAGCCTTGAACAGGCTTGGCCCTTGGCGATGAGATAGGCAGACAGGCCCCTGTGCAAGGGAGCTAGCTTGCAGGGTCCTAGAGGCCAAAGGCCTGGTCTTGGGGCCAGAGGCTGCTGAGAAGGTGCACAGAGCCTGGGTGCAGGAAGCCATCCAGGATGCTGCTTCCCGCCATCTGTGAGAGCTTCGTTTTCTCTAACACTCAAAAATAGATGTTTCTGTTATGCTCTCTCGTTGGCAGGGGAGCGGCGGGGCCTGCCAAGGCCTGGGGGAGCCCGCCAGCCTGCTGAGTTTTACTGTACAAACAGTTGGGGAGGGGGGGCTGTCTCTGTTAACTTGAAATTCCCCGATCAGTAAACATGCCAATTTAAAGTGTAATTAACTCAGGCCGGAAAAAATTCAGATTTGGACTGCTTTTCACAGTTGAGGTTGTTTTTCTTTTATTTATTTATCTCTTTCCGGGTGTGGTGGTATCTGTGGCTGGTTTTAGCCAGGAAAAATAGAAGGGGGACCGGGTGGGGAGGGGGCTGGTTGGGAGAGGAAAGGCTGGAAGGAAAGGAAGAGAAAGGGGTGGGTGGCCTGTCACCCAGCAGCCAGGTGTCTATAGGGTTTCTGTCCTGGGAAGGGGCTGGCAGGGTGATACCCGCCTGCAGAGAGGGGGTCATTCTGTGAGGCTGGGCTGCAGACCCAGCCAATGAAATGAAATGGATGAAATCTGTCAGCAGAACAGGTGATTCAGAAATGATGGGGCACCGTGGAGAGACCCCAGGAAAACACCCAGTGCTGCTTCTGACACTCTCTCTCCGTCTCCCCTATCTCCAGAGTCTCAGTCCCTGCTCTGCCACCATCTCCTCCTCCGATCTCCTTTCCTGCTTCAAAAGACTCCAGAATCTTCCTGGTTCTCAGAGAAGGCTGAATCCACCTATGACCTAGTGGGTGCATCCTGTGCCAAAATTGTTTACCTTCTGGTCCCCGGAGCCACGGGTCACGACCTGGTCCTCACGTAGGCCCGCTCCTCAGCAGCCCCCACCTCACTGGGGAAGAAGGAGAGCCCTGGGGGTGTGGAGAAGCCCCCGCATCCCTCACATCTTACAGAATCTCTATTGAGTCCCTGGGGACACATCCCTCAGCAGGACAGGAACAGTCTTTGCCACGGCATGGGGAGGGCTGTGCTGGGGACGAGCGCCCAGTGGCCGTGGACTAAGTGAAGGAGCAGATGACCATGCTCTTCTCCCAGCTGGACGGCGAGGCCGGGCAGGAACCGCAGAAGTTTTGCTCTTCGTTTTCCAACACTTTGCTGTCGAGCTATTTGAATAATAAATACACATTATAAAAATGTAAATATGTTTGTGTGTCTGTATGTTCGGAGATGATGTTTGTTAAGCGGGAGGTTTAACAACGGAGGCCATCTGCCTTCAGCAGGGATTCGCACAGAATGTCACTGGCCTTCGCCCAACGAGCCTTTGCAGGGAGCAGCCTCCTGAAGTTGGGGCTCATTCCTGGGCCCCCTCCACCGCATGTGAGCCCCCCGTTCCAAGGCAGGAGCCAGGGCAACAAAAAGACATGCTGCTTCATCAATCCGAGGCCTCAAACGGCTCCCCCAGCCCCACTGCCTGCCCATTCCAGGCCTGGGGCTGGCAGCGTGGGCCCCATGAGGGGGCAGAGGCCAGAGCCCAGGGGCAGAGCCCGTGCCCACGCCTCGGTGCTGCCAGCCTCCGCTTGGTCACGACACAGCCAGGCTGACTCAGACGCAGCCCCGAGCGGGAGCCTCATAAATGACATCATTACCTATGAAACCTGCCGCGTAGCGCACTAGCAGGGAAGGACGCACTCTGGCCGACGGTGACTCACACTTTTCCCCAGAGCCTCCCAGCTCCATCGCCTGTGTCTGGGCTGGCTGGGCAGGGGGAGGGGGAGCCCACCTCGGCCTCACTCCCCCACTCTGCTGCAAATGCAAAAGCAGTCGGCCAGGCAGCCACCGTCCTGCTGAGGGCTGTGTGGGGGCGGGGTGGGGGGCCATGTCTCCCTGCTGAGGGCTGTGGGGGAGCGGGGTGGGGGCCATGTCTCCCTGCTGAGGGCTGTGGGGGAGCGGGGTGGGGGCCATGTCTCCCTGCTGAGGGCTGGGGCGGGCGCGGGGTTGGGGGGGCATGTCTCCCTGCTGAGGGCTGTGTGCGGGGGCGGGGGGGGCAGGGAGACCATATTTCCGGCCTCCCTCTGCAGCCCCAGTGGTGCTCCAGAGGGACTGTCAGTTGCCTATGACAGGGAGGAAACTGAGGGCTAAAGAGGCCCCATGCCTGGCCTCATACATCCCACGGTGGGGGGGTGGCTTCGGCTCATGCTGGGAACCCTCAGGGAGACCCTTGGGCGAGCTCAGCCGCTGGGCAGAGCCGCAAAACCTCTGGCTATTCCTGCTGGACCTGAGACCCCAGCTTCTCCTGAGCTCCTCTGGTGCAGCAAACTCCTGCTGACAAACACTTCTACTCTTGAAAGTGGTGGCCTTGCCAACCCAAGATGTCCCCACCAGGTGGGGGGCACTGTAGGGGAATGCTAGTTTTCTTTTTTCTTCAATTAAAAAAAAGTAAAGCAAATAAAATGGGACCTGTTTGGTATGGCCTTCAGAGTCGGAGGACTTGGGTTGAGATCCAGCCTTTGTCATTTTCTGGTGCTGTGGCTTTCTTGTCTCTGGCCTCTACCTCCTACGCAGGATGAGAGTAAAATGCCTGTTAGGTTCACATTAAACTGGGGCTCCCCGTCAATGATCCATGGCTGGGGAGGACTCCCACCAGTCCTAAGGTGCACCTGCAGCCCAGACCTCACTCTGGCTGCCCTGATGGTCTAGCCCCCCACACACTGCTGGCTCTGGGGCTGTGCCCTCCTGGTACGCCCCAGCACCTGATGGCATTCCCCAAACAGAACAAGAACCACAAGCAGCAACTGCCTGTTTTTGCTCTTAGGAAGCTCAGAGCAGCATCCTATGCCAAAATCACTCTAGTCCCCAGAGCCACGGGTCACCAGCTGGTCCTCAGCCAGACCCACTCCTCAGCGGCCTCCATCCTTAACCCTGGTTTCCTGGGGACTCTGCTCCACTGACTTCTGAGTTGTGGGAGCTGCAAGGGAGAGGGGTGGGCCACAGACTTGATGGGAAGGTACAGAGGTAGAAATTCAAGTCAGGGCCACAGAGCTGTGTTCAAAGCTGGGAACATGACCTGAGCTCGGCACAGAGCCAGGCGCCTGGGAGGAGCGGAGACGGAGAATTGGAGGGCACTGGGATTGGTAATCCTCGAGGCATCTTAGGCAAATGAGCTCGGGGTCACAGGGCAGGATACACAGGACTGAGGAACACTGGCCAACCATCAGTACTGTGACCCAGGCTGGCTTGGGGTACAGTGGGGGATCCCAGGACTGGCAGGCCCCACAGAGCAGCCTTCCCTGAGTTTGAGCCGAAAATCCCAGCAAAGGGCTTCGTGGCCCGATGCCACTTTCACCCTGGTAGCTCCACCCCGTTTCCCCCTTTGCCACCAATTCGCAGCTCTCCTGCGAGTCCACAACCCATGCCATGACTTTCAATGGGTTAAGGAATGTGCACATCTCTAAATGACCACACGTGCCCCGTCATGTGCACGTGCACACACACTGACATGCATTTGAGGAATGGGAGCATTCTGTGAGCCTGAGCCAAGGTCAGGGACCCTGGATGGGGTAGGAAAGAGTCAAGGGAGTTGGGCAGCAGAAGCATGTGCTGGCAGGGACGGCAAGGAGCCCTGAACGTTGGTGGTGGGTGAGTGCTGTATCAGGACCTGGGCTAGAAGAAAGGCTTGCAGTCAGAGTGGACCCAGTTCTCTTTGAAGCATAGCTTTCTTCTGGTTCTTTCTAAGATCAAAGCAACTGACACCTGTGCAGCTGCCCCTGGGTCACTTTGTCTGATGTCACACAGCCTCAGGACTCTCTCTCTGTCCCAGTCACTACTGAAGCTGACCCCACCTCTCCCCCAGTGATGAGGCCTCTCTTCCCACAGATGGGGGATTTCTTATTCACATCCAGACCCCTCCTGGCCACACTCATTTTCTTCTTGGGGCACAGGGAGTACCACCCCTGGTCTGGGGACTGGTCGGCTGGCCACACCCCCTCTTTGGTGGGTAGCAGAGAAAGTGACACTTCTGGCTAAAAAGGCAAGAGTCACACTGCCCAAGAATTGAGTGGAGTTTCTTGCACAGAAAGAGAGTTTGTCTTCCAAAAGACAAAGAGGTTTCCAAGCCTCAGGAAGGGACGCCGAAAAGTCAGTGGATTGAAGCTAGCCGGGTTTCACCCTCAACTTGGGCACTAACCCTGAGAATGGGGGTGGGGGCAAAGGTGGCATCAACGCTGCCAGAACCTCATGCTCCAACACACGGGAGCCACTGGCCCAGCTCGCCCATGCCTGTGACCTTGGGACCATCACTTGAACCTTCTGGGCTTCTGTGTCTTCCTAATAGGACCCGGGTTCTTGAGAGAGAGACACCAAAGCGTGCCCAGAACAGAGTCCAGCAGCCCACTGGTCCCCCGTCACCCCAGGCCTCTCTGTCACCCTTCTCTGTCTCTCTCACGTCAGCCTCATACCTGGTTTAGACCCTGGGGGATGCTGGGTGCACGGAACAGACCACTTGCGCTTGGGCCATGGTTGCTGGGCACTGGCCTCTTCCCTAACGAGGGAGGAGTGAGCAGAGCCCTCAGAGGGGCCATTGGCAGTCCCCGGGTCAGGGCCTGAGTCCCAGGAAGTGGGGCTCCTGCCGCCTCCCTACAGGGTCCTGGCTGTGTCAGGTGGGGCTGTTGTTCCTCTCCTGTCTGTTGTCATCTTCCCTTTGCCATTTCCCTCGCAGTGCTGACATTTTCCTGGTGGGTCCAAGAGGAAGGAGGGTGGACAGACTGCACAGACAGCCCCAGTCAGTGAGCAAGCCCGGCCTTTACTAAGGCTGCCTCGAGCTTGCAGTGAGCCAAGATCACGCCACGGCACTCCAGCCTGGGCAACACAGCCAGACTCCGTCTCAAAAAAAAAAAAGGCTGCCTCTTCCCCAGGCTTGGGGAAAAGAACGGGTGCAGATCACCCCTTCCACGGAGAGGTAACTTCATGGGTTCCCCCCAGAAAACTCCAAAACCTGGAACTGCTGCGGGGTTGTCACCTACCCTGCCTGTGCCCGGCACAGAGCGGCCTCCGACGGTCGCCTAAGAGGGGGGCAGCAGTCCTGTTTGTCTCCAACATCCTCCCTCTCCAAGATTCTCGGAGCACTTGTGATGGCAGCAAACTGAGTCTCAGCGAGGGGTTCACTGGCTTTCCACGGCTCCCGGCACTTTGTAACCCATAACGAGAGGAGGACCGTGAGGATGTATTCATATTTCACGAATTCAGCTTCTATTTAACTAAGTTTCCGAGCACCCGCGCTCTGAACTGTGTGACCCCACAGAGAGACCACCGCCTCCCGGCAACTGCCTGGCAGGGCATCAGGCTGCAGAGACAAAGGAATGGGACCTTTAGAGGCCTGGGCCAGTTACTGGCACTGGGCGCCCACCTCCGGGCAGGGGAAAATGCCGTGTGCCCAGTGCAGCCCCAAGATGCTTCCTGGCCAGAAGGACCCTGTTTGCCAAGGCCTTTTCACCTCTTATCTCCCCCAATGCCCTTTCTTGGCAGTCAGCCAGTGGTTCCACCTTTCCCCTTTTCAGCCAAAAAAAAAAAAAAAAGTAAACGCAGGCCAGAGAAGCCACCTGCTTGCGGTCCCACAGCTCGAGGTGGAGGTGAAGGGGGTGCTGCCACTCTAGCTCTGGGCGCCCCCACCCGAGTGCCCGGCTCCTGAGAACAGAGCCAGGAGCCAGAAGAAATTCAGCCTTGGGGCCAGGCTGGGTGGACATGGAGAGGGGGTGGAGGAACGCAGGCGGGAGGTACTGAAGGCAGCAGGGGTGAAGGGGGGTTGGGGGCCCCCAGGGGTCCCTGCCCTGTGGTTCTTCGGGCTTCATAGATTGGAAAAGTTGGTGCCCTTCTGAGGGTGGGTGGGGGTGGCACCAGACGCAGAATAAAGCCCCCTCCCCTAGAGCCGGGATGGCTCAGCGGAATCACCGAGAATGAGACCGCTGGTTGCTAATGGGCTTGGGGAAAATGCGATGCAATTTCGCCGGTGTTTTTCAGGCCCAGAGCTATTGAATAAATGAACTGCGCGCCGGCACAGTGAGTAACGCACTGCGCGGCTCCTGGCAGGCGGGGGCGGAGTGGGGGCCGCAGAACCGGACGTGCCTTGCGAGGTTCAGAGGCGCTGGCGGTGTGGTGGGTGGGCAGCACCGGGATGGCTGGACAGAGGAAATACGGGGGAAGGGGTT